ATCGTGAACCCCAACTAGAGACACGTCCATCGTGAACCCCAGCCAGAGACACGTCCATCGTGAACCCCAGCCAGAGACACGTCCATCGTGAACTCCACACAGTGACACGTCCATCGTGAACCCCACTCAGAGACACGTCCATCGTGAACCCCACCCAGTGACACGTCCATCGTGAACCCCACTCACACGTCCATCGTGAACCCCACTCAGAGACACGTCCATCGTGAACCCCACCCACACGTCCATCGTGAACCCCACCCACACGTCCATCGTGAACCCCACTCAGAGACACGGCCATCGTGAACCCCACGCAGAGACACGTCCATCGTGAACCCCACCCAGTGACACGTCCATCGTGAACCCCAGCCAGAGACACGTCCATCGTGAACCCCACTCAGTGACACGTCCATCGTGAACCCCACTCAGTGACACGTCCATCGTGAACCCCACCCAGTGACACGTCCATCGTGAACCCCAGCCAGAGACACGTCCATCGTGAACCCCAGCCAGAGACACGTCCATCGTGAACCCCACTCAGAGACACGTCCATCGTGAACCCCAACTAGAGACACGTCCATCGTGAACCCCACTCAGAGACACGTCCATCGTGAACCCCAGCCAGAGACACGTCCATCGTGAACCCCACTCAGTGACACGTCCATCGTGAACCCCACCCAGAGACACGTCCATCGTGAACCCCACTCAGTGACACGGCCATCGTGAACTCCACCCAGAGACACGTCCATCGTGAACCCCACCCAGAGACACGTCCATCGTGAACCCCACTCAGTGACACGTCCATCGTGAACTCCACCCAGTGACACGTCCATCGTGAACCCCAGCCAGTGACACGGCCATCGTGAACCCCACCCAGAGACACGGCCAACGTGAACCCCAACTAGAGACACGTCCATCGTGAACCCCACCCAGAGACACGTCCATCGTGAACCCCACTCAGAGACACGTCCATCGTGAACCCCACTCAGTGACACGTCCATCGTGAACCCCACCCAGAGACACGGCCATCGTGAACCCCACTCAGAGACACGTCCATCGTGAACCCCACCCAGAGACACGTCCATCGTGAACCCCACTCAGAGACACGTCCATCGTGAACCCCACTCAGTGACACGTCCATCGTGAACCCCACTCAGTGACACGTCCATCGTGAACCCCACCCAGAGACACGTCCATCGTGAACCCCACCCAGAGACACGTCCATCGTGAACCCCACTCAGAGACACGTCCATCGTGAACCCCAACTAGAGACACGGCCATCGTGAACCCCAGCCAGAGACACGTCCACCTACCAACCCACCCACCAACCAACCAACCCACCCACCCACCCACCAACCAACCAACCCACCCACCCACCCACCCACCAACCAACCCACCCACCAACCAACCCACCCACCAACCAACCCATCCACCAACCAACCCACCCACCCACCAACCAACCCACCCACCCACCCACCAACCCACCCACCCACCAACCCACCCACCCACCAACCCACCCACCCACCAACCCACCCACCCACCAACCCACCCACCCACCAACCCACCCACCCACCAACCCACCCACTCACCCACCAACCCACCCACCCACCCACCAACCCACCCACCTTCTGTGGTCCCATTCGTTGAGTTGGACGTCTCCCAGGTTTTATCCGCTGCTTGCTGCTGCCGCTGCCGCCGCCGCTGCTGCTGACGATGCTGGCCAGTAGGGGGCGGGCGAGTGGGTGGGTGAGCAGGCGGGTGAGTAGGAGGGTGAGTAGGAGGGTGAGTAGGAGGGTGAGTAGGAGGGTGAGCGTGAAGGTGAGTAGGAGGGTGAGTAGGTGGGTGAGTAGGAGGGTGAGTAGGCGAGTGAGTAGGAGGGTGAGTAGGAGGGTGAGTAGGAGGGTGAGTAGGAGGGTGAGCGTGAAGGTGAGTAGGAGGGTGAGTAGGAGGGTGAGTAGGAGGGTGACCAGGCGGGTGAGCGTGAAGGTGAGTAGGAGGGTGAGTGGGTGGGTGAGTAGGTGGGTGAGTAGGAGGGTGAGTAGTCGGGTGAGCATGGTGGTGAGCGTGAAGGTGACCAGGCGGGTGAGTAGGTGGGTGACCATGCGGGTGAGCGTGAAGGCGAGTAGGTGGGTGAGTAGGTGGGTGAGTAGGTGGGTGAGTAGGTGGGTGAGTAGGTGGGTGAGTAGGTGGGTGAGTAGGCGGGTGAGCATGGTGGTGAGCGTGAAGGTGACCAGGCGGGTGAGTAGGTGGGTGACCAGGCGGGTGAGCGTGAAGGCGGGCGCCGGTGCGGTTGCCCTGAGCGGGCAGGAAGTAGCGGCGAGCGGTGAGCACGTGGGCCAGGGAGGGCCACCCAAACACAACTCCGGAGAGGAGGAGGCACTCCGTGAGGCCCAGCAGCAGCAGCATCCACCTCCTCACCGCCCTGCACCTCCTCGCCTGGGGGGGTAGGGTAGGGTGAGCGTAGGGTGAGCGAGTAGGGGCGAGGTTTGTACGCCGAGGGTGGGTTAGGGGCCATTGCCCTGGTGCTGGTCACCTTCTGCCGTAGCTCCGCTCGATTCTAGGCCAGACGACCCCCGCTGGGTTTCTTAATCCGGCCCCTTCGAACTTGTCCGGCTAATAATAATAATAATGATAATAATGATAATATTAATATTTTTATTCAGTTTAACACGCGGTAGGCTTTCGCGAGCAATATTATTCATCGTAAAAGGTTTTCGTGGGTTAGATCGCGTTCATTGATAAATGTGTCTCGTAACCCTCCAACCACCCGACACGGCCAATCAGCAACAACAAAAAAGTGTCACGTTGACAAAAAGACACAAACAGTTCACTATATCCTTAGTTTTTTTTCGGTAAAGTCACCACCACGTTGAAGGGGAAACAACAAAATAATGAAATATTTATAAAACAATAAAAAAATTCTCACGACGTTTCGACCACAACACAAACGGTCGTCTTCAGGTTTGTGTTGGTTTGCATAAATTTATTTTTAAACGGCATACATTATATAAAAAAAAAATCGTCTCCCCCCCTCCTCTTTTCAGAATATAGATGGACTAGTCCTAAATAAACTACCAAATCGTTGCGCGTGGCGCTAACGTTTTTTATAAATAAATAAATGCGCCGTTTAAAAATAAATCTGTAAAGATACTTTCATAATATTTATTTCTTATGTGCGCAAATTGAAATCCTAAGGGCCAATGTGTTTATAAAACAGCTAAAAGAGATTAAAACATCACGTGAATTGATCCACAATCCAGGTGGACCTATCTTTTTTAACATGCACAATTACAAGCATGGCTTCCTAACAAGTAAACTAGCACAGCCTACAGATGTCCCTTGCATCTTACATCTATTCCTGTCGAACAAACACTTGCAATGGCCTAGGTCAGCGTCACATCAGAAGAAAGCACAATGTTAGAACACCAAAGAAATAGCCAAAAAAATTAAAGCAAACATTGAACAAAAATAAAGATGGCTTTAAATGACAAATCGGTGCATTCTCTGATAGCCTATCAGATGTATAGGCCTATAACGCAAAACTTTGAGCTCTCTTTGCATAATTAATTGATTGTTCACGCTTACAGTGGCTTTCAGACAGCAAACATTATAAAAAATTTCGTCTCCCCCCCTCCTCTTTTCAGAATATAGATGGACTAGTCCTGGGTAAACTGCCAAATCGTTGCGCGTGGCGCTAACGTTTTTTTTTTATAAATAAATAACTAAATGCGCCGTTTAAAAATAAATTTATGCAAACCAACACAAACCTGAAGACGACCGTTTGAGTTATGGTCGAAACGTCGTGAGAAATGTTTTTATTGTTTCATATATATATTTATATATTATTTTGTTGTTTCCACCTTCAACGTGGTGGTGACTTTACCGAAAAAAAACTAAGGATATGAATTACTGCAGTCACGAAAGCTTTAAATAGTTCACTACTTTAGCCCACCGGTGTGTTGAATGATGACGTCACCCTGCTGCTGTTCTATATAAAAACCGGGAGCAAGTGGAGAGGGCTTTACCATCCTGGCGAATTGCCCGATGATGCTGGATGGAATTTACCAGCGGAACGTCACAGTACTACTCAAACATTGTAAATGTTGTGGATTCACTCTTCAACAACACACCGGTATGGGACTAAAGTAGTGAACTAATTTGTGTCTTTTTGTCAACGTGACACTTTTTTTTGTTGCTGATTGGCCGTGTCGGGTGGTGGAGGGTTACGAAACACATTTATCAATAAACGCGATCTAACCCACAAAAACCTTTATGATGAATAATATTTTTATTATTATTATCATTCTTCTTCGGTTCTAATTCGGTGAAGTCGCGCGGGTAACAAAATAAAATAACAAATCAATCACGACTTAGAAGCTTTCGTGACTGCGAGGAATTCATCTTCTGTGGTTCTTTCGGTGAAGTCGCCACCACGTAGAATGAGAATAAAAATAATAAATTGATAAAATAAAATGACACGGTAAAATTCTCACGACGTTTCGGGGCCGCGACACAAGCGGCCTTCATCGGGTGAAGGGACCGGACTGTCCAGAGGACAGCGCTGGAGCGAACAAAGCCACAAGCTCAGATCGCGACCTTTAAGCTTGTGTGAGAGGAAAACAAAGCGCCTTGGCAAAGGAATTAGCATAGAATTTAGCATTGAAATAGCTGAGTGATTAGCTTGTGACTGGTCACAGAAATGGCTATGTTAAAGTCAAAACCTACACATCCACAGAGGCAACTAGTAATTTAGCATTGAAATAGCTAAGGGATTAGCTTGTGACTGGTCACAGGAATGGCTATGTTAAAGTCAAAGCCTACACATCCACAGAGGCAACTAGTAATTTAGCATTGAAATAGCTAAGGGATTAGCTTGTGACTGGTCACAGGAATGGCTATGTTAAAGTCAAAGCCTACACATCCACAGAGGCAACTAGTAATTTAGCATTGAAATAGCTAAGGGATTAGCTTGTGACTGGTCACAGGAATGGCTATGTTAAAGTCAAAGCCTACACATCCACAGAGGCACTTAGTACAAATCAAACAGGAGAATTTAGCATTGAAATGGCTGAGTGATTAGCTTGTGACTGGTCACAGAAATGGCTATGTTAAAGTCAAAGCATACACATCCACAGAGGCACCTAGTACAAATCAAACTGGAGAATTGAGCATTGAAATGGCTGAGTGATTAGCTTGTGACTGGTCACAGAAATGGCTATGTTAAAGTCAAAGCATACACATCCACAGAGGCACCTAGTACAAATCAAACAGGAGAATTTAGCATTGAAATAGCTGAGTGATTAGCTTGTGACTGGTCACAGAAATGGCTATGTTAAAGTCAAAGCATACACATCAACAGAGGCACCCCTTGGCAAAGGAATTAGCATAGAATTTAGCATTGATTAGCTGAGTGATTAGCTTGTGACTGGTCACAGAAATGGTTATGTTAAAGTCAAAACCTACACATCCACAGAGGCAACTAGTAATTTAGCATTGAAATAGCTAAGGGATTAGCTTGTGACTGGTCACAGGAATGGCTATGTTAAAGTCAAAGCCTACACATCCACAGAGGCAACTAGTAATTTAGCTTTGAAATAGCTAAGGGATTAGCTTGTGACTGGTCACAGGAATGGCTATGTTAAAGTCAAAACCTACACATCCACAGAGGCAACTAGTAATTTAGCATTGAAATAGCTAAGGGATTAGCTTGTGACTGGTCACAGGAATGGCTATGTTAAAGTCAAAGCCTACACATCCACAGAGGCAACTAGTAATTTAGCATTGAAATAGCTAAGGGATTAGCTTGTGACTGGTCACAGGAATGGCTATGTTAAAGTCAAAGCCTACACATCCACAGAGGCACTTAGTACAAATCAAACAGGAGAATTTAGCATTGAAATGGCTGAGTGATTAGCTTGTGACTGGTCACAGAAATGGCTATGTTAAAGTTAAAGCATACACATCCACAGAGGCACCTAGTACAAATCAAACAGGAGAATTTAGCATTGAAATGGCTGGGTGGTTAGCTTGTGACTGGTCACAGAAATGGCTATGTTAAAGTCAAAGCCTACACATCCACAGAGGCACTTAGTACAAATCAAACTGGAGAATTTAGCATTGAAATGGCTGAGTGATTAGCTTGTGACTGGTCACAGAAATGGCTATGTTATGGTCAAAGCATACACATCAACAGAGGCACCCCTTGACAAAGGAATTAGCATAGAATTTAGCATTGAAATGGCTGAGTGATTAGCTTGTGACTGGTCACAGAAATGGCTATGTTAAAGTCAAAGCATACACATCAACAGAGGCACCCCTTGGCAAAGGAATTAGCATAGAATTTAGCATTGATTAGCTGAGTGATTAGCTTGTGACTGGTCGCAGAAATGGCTATGTTAAAGTCACAGCATACACATCAACAGAGGCACCCCTTGGGAAAGGAATTAGCATAGAATTTAGCATTGAAATGGCTGAGTGATTAGCTTGTGACTGGTGACAGAAATGGCTATGTTAAAGTCACAGCATACACATCAACAGAGGCACCCCTTGACAAAGGAATTAGCATAGAATTTAGCATTGATTAGCTGAGTGATTAGCTTGTGACTGGTCACAGAAATGGCTATGTTAAAGTCACAGCATACACATCAACAGAGGCACCCCTTGACAAAGGAATTAGCATAGAAAATTCATAGAAATCACCACTATCACCACCACCACCATCATCACCACCATCACCACCATCATCACCACCATCACCACCACCATCATCGCCATCACCACCACCACCAC